AGTCAGAATTCTGAGAAAAAAGTCAGAATTCTGTGAAAAAAGTCAGAATTCTGAGAAAAAAGTTGGAATTCTGACTATTTTCCCATAGTAAACTGAAATAAAATCACTTAACTGTTTTTTTCCCAGTGGCCCTAACCCTCTTCCGTAAAAACTCCCTGTAAAAGACCTTCAAAAAATAATTAGAAACAGGTGGTTAATAATGATTTTCAATATTAAGAGACAGTTTGGCTTCTTGAAAAAAATAAAACAAAATAAAATACCCTGGACATAACAGATAACATATTAGTGTATCTGTATGTGTGACAGGAGTGGAAGTCAGCCTGCTAACCTGGAGAATGTTGGACGGAGGCCTTCACTTCAGTCTGCACAGTCTGACAGCAATCTACGGACAGGTACATTAACAACATTGGTTCAGCACATTCCTGTTTTTCTCAGGTTTTGATATCCAATAAATGACTATAATAAACTATTATTTTAGTGCTTTACACCCCACAGCTGGATATTTCATTTAGTTTTCTGCTTTCTTTCTACATTGCTGCCATATATAAATCAGATAATTTATGTCTGAGTCACATCATCTGGTAAAATAAACGTAGAAGAAATGCTAAAGGTGAACTGAACAGTCAAAAAAAAATTGTTTACCCCCAAAATACATTTTTTATAGCTTTTTTCTTTCTTTAATATGCACTTTTAGGGAAAAATATTATGCTTTTATTATAACATTAGTTTAAAGTATAGCTGGGAGTTCTAAAAGCTGTTATGAGCCCTTTTTATTTGTCAGCCTGGCTGCTCCAGGTCCCCATCAACAGCCAGCTGCTGAGCAGATACTGAGTACGTTCTCATTAGGGGTGATGGCCTCTCCTCCGTTTGTTTTATATGACTTGACATTTGAAACAACCAATTTTCTTGTAAATGTAGTAGCCAGCTAACCCAATTTGGATGGAATTGACAATTGATTTCCCTAAATACACATGACGATCAGTAGAAATATAAATAAATACCCAGAAGACATCCACCAAATAACCATGGCAACAGTGCTGTCAGGCCAAAGGGACTTTGTTTGCACACCTCAGGGACATTTTTTTACCGTCAACCAAAAACCTATTGTGTGTGACTCATAGAAAAAGTGGCTAAAATATAAACGTCTGTTTTTCACTGTATCAAGTCCAAATGATACTGTCTATCTGCATAATTGAGTTTGTTGTAGAGTAGTCCTGTTAATGTATTAACCTCACACATCTATTAGGAACATGTTGCCACTCAAAATCATGAGAGGTGCAATATAGGTTAAAAACAAACGAGGATGTTACAAAAAAAAAAAAAAGCAACCTGCAGCCATCATCCACTGTGGCCGCTTGATGTGTGTGTTCTGTGACAGATTTGCGCATCTCAAACAGATTCATTAAAATGTGCTGGATTTACAAAAGCAAATGGATTTACAGATGGTCCTCTTATAGCTGTATGAGTACAATCATAGCTCTGATGGCATTTAAAATATTGGCTTCTTGCTTTAATCTGTAATTTTATGTGGTTTCAGGCACAGTTTATATAATATTTTAATTTTGTTTGGAAATAATTTATTTATCTGCCACCAATATTTTCAGGTAGAATTAAAGTGTATAGATTTATGTTCCTCAATGACCAACATTTGTTTGGTTAAAACAGAAGAATATTTACAAATGAAGTTTTTTTTCTTTATTGTGGGGGAAGTTACATCATTATTTTATAGCTCAATGTAAATCAGTTTAATCATTAAGGTTTAACTCATAAAAGCTCAAACTCAGGAAAGACCAGGTTGGGTGCTTCTTGAGTTAAATAAAACTGAATGTAGTTAAAATTAGTGTACTGTGCATTAGTTTTGTGCATTATAATTACATTTTTTTATTGCAAAAGTTTGCCTTGCTGCAACATATTTTCACAATTTTATATCTCTGCAAACATTCATGAAATGCTCATTGTTGTACCTGATGATTTTTACCTAAAATATTAAAGCTCAAGTTAAATAAGGTCCCTAAAAAAGTGAGTCAGAGAAGAAAGGCTATGGCTGACACTGAGTTCTTCTCTAATGTTTCCTTTTAAGTGAATAAACAGATTTTCGCATCAAAGCTTCAATGGGAATTAAAATGAAAACTAAACATTTTTTTATATTATTTTTATTTATATTTCAGCTCACTCTCCAGTGGTGTTCGGTGGGTTCTAATGATAAATTGCAGCGTTTTGCCTGCCAACCTTATAATCTACTCCAACGTGTGTTTAGTTGCGTTCATGAAGCTTTGTCATTTATTTTCTAGTAGTTTTGCTTTGCTAGGATAATTTTAACAGGTTTTCTCCTTTATGACCGACTTGTTGATTATTCAGCTTGTAACATGTCCAATGCTGTGACAGAAAATTCTTTGTGGACAAAGCTGAAAGAAATTATTTCCTCCCTAAGAAACCTAGGACTTGAATTTGGTAGTATTAATGTTGTAAAACATTATTAATATAACTAACAATAGGGATTTCTATGGACATCCTAATTTAATATTCAGAGCAGATCAAGAGACAGGTTTCAAAAGGCTGTTGAAACCTTTACTATGACAAATAATAGGTTAAAAAAGTACTACTTTACTTATTACGTATTACTTTACAATCGTGTTGTGCTGATGCCATTTTATCGGCCCTGATACCCGATATGTGGCTGTGCAGTATTGGCGGATACCGATACCATCTGTTTGAAATTGATGTTTGTGTGTGTGTATTAGCCTGATAAGCCAGACTAAATGTAGGATTAAAAGTGTTATTAAGTCTGGCCCTGATGAATGAGAGATTGGAAGATTGTTGATGAGAACAGCCCGTTGTCTTTCAAATCATGTCTGTGCCTATTGGTCAACGCTCTGACCAATGAGCGCAACTGACTGTAACAGTGACAGAAAGCTGGTGGGGGAGTGTAAACAAACAGCCTGTCAGTAAAACGGTGAATACGTCCTTCTTAAAAATGAATGAGCCTAGAGCCTCTTCCTGCTCACGTTTCAATGTAAACCCCAAATCTAATCCTTCCAAAACTGATTCCAAAGCTGAGTCAAACAGGAACTGTTCAATAGTTGTTGCCATCTTCCTTGTTGCGCTTTCTCCACGTTGCGCAGCTATGTCGTCACGCCCTCAAAACCTCGCCTGCTTTGCATCCAGAAATTCAAAACACATCTCTGCGTTGTGGTCGGCCAGACAGTTCTATGGCCTGGGGCATTGATCAAGGATAGACCGCTCGCAGGCAAAAATGATATTTGGCCGCTGGTGGGTGGGGCTAGTTTACTAGGCTATGTGTATAAATATGAAGAACTGCATATTACTTGGATGTAAAATAATTGCCATCATGGCTTTGTCAAGCTGCTGCCTACCTTTGTGAAGCAGGAAAAAGACTAATACAAAGTGAATCCAGTAGAACCTTATATTGCTTACCTTGCATGGGTGACAATAGTTAAATAAAATTTTGGCTCTCAAAATGGTATCGGTGCCCTATTTGTCAGTACTCGCCGATACCAATACCACCATTTTTGTGCTGGATTGGGCCCCGCCCGATACTGGTGTCAGTATCGGTGCAACACTACTTTACAATCTGGATTACAGCAACAGGACCATATTTAGATGTTTAGTCTGATCACAGAATACATTTTTAGAGACAGGGTCTTTAAACATGAAAGTACTTACCAACTTTAATCTGGATTTTCATATTGCTTTTGCTGTTTTGGAGGAAAATGTTTTGCTTTGTCAACATCTGGTTTGAACTGCTTCTGTTCCTGTTTTCATTCAGGGCCTCCAGAGACCACCCAGCCAGAAGACACAGCCCCAGATCAAATTTCTCCTGTGTTTCGCACAGGCAGTGAACCCCTGCTGAGCCCCAGACAACATAAAACACTTCCTTTCCATCCAGGTAATAAACTATTGGGCTTTCCATCACTTAGGGAAATATTGCATCCACATAAACCAAATCTTTCGCTGCCTGCAGGTGGCGGTGCTACTTTGCGAGGTTCAGACGGGCAGCTGCATCCAAGAGCTCCTCCTAAACCCCTCAGAGTCTCAACTGTTTTTGCAAGTGCAACTCCTCCTCCTCCTAAAGACCTAGATGAAGACCCCTCATCATGCTACAGCGAACTCAATATACAGGTAAAAAATCCTCTTTTTAGAGGATTTAGAAGTAAATCCTCTAAAAGGAGTATTTATCTTATTGATGTTTTCAGATCCCTCAGTCTCAGAAGAAAGGCCATGTGGACCGGCTGCGTGCAGAGGAGAAGTGGCAGAGCCGTGCTCGCATTACAGAAACTTCCTTTGGATTTTTGGAGGAAGAGAACAAGGAAGCATCCTCACAGCTGCAGTTTGAGAAAGAGCTTCTGAGGAAAGCAGCAGAGGAAGAAAGAGACTGGCATTTCGAAAGGCCTCAGGTGTGTATAAATAACATTCACTTCAGAATTAGAAGTCCTACTTCTGTCTGATTCGAATACATGCAGTCATGAGCCAGACCAGAAATTATTTTTCCACACCTGTTGTACTTTCTTATGGAACTGACTTGCCTTTTCACACCCCTTCATTTTCAAATAGACCAGCCTTTTATTACTTAAAGATGAAGACAAGACAGTAGTGACAAGGAAAGACATTCTAGTTTCTACCAAATAAATAATGCCTGCAGGACAACCCTTCCACTGCTTTACAGTAGGAATGATTTTAGCAGTTGTGATGAATAGTGTTTAGAATAGTGTTTCTTTAATCTTAACATTGGATCTATACAAATAACTTTCTATTATTATCTCATCTGACCAGAGAATGAAATTTATATTCAACAACCAATATTTAAGATTGAAAAAATCATAAAGTCATGCAAGCAGAATTTTTCAAGAGTAGGCTTCTGTAGCTGGTATAACATAAATGCTTTTCCTAAATGGACCTTTTGGTGGTTCTCTCTCTGCAACAGTAGGGATAATCCTGTTGGATTTAATGCTTCTTCCAATGTCAGATAATGGATATCAGTGGTTCTTGGGATGCTTTATGCTGACAGAATACATTTGAATTCTGTAGATTTCTAGGTTTTAGTTCGACCATGAAGGTCTGCAGAGAATTATTATGATTGAATAGCTTGGTTTCTGCTCAACATGCATTGTTTGCTGTGAAACATTAGAAGGCCAAGTGTGTTTTACTGCAAAATATTATACATATTATACCATGTTCAGTAACATCTCAAGAATTACTAGTTAAATCAAATTCTCATCAGTTCAGTTTGAGTATAGTATCAAAAAATAAAACTTTTTTTTTTATCTTAACACTCTGTAATTTATATAAGGAGTTCATTAACATTAATGTAGTTTTAATGCTGACATATTTTAGAAAGGGCATCAGTAGCCATCAATTTTCTATGCATCTACCAGTAATATGATTTCAATAGAATGGATGTTTTTTGCATTCACCTCAGAACTCAAAACTGAAAAGTCAGAAAGACTAACAGTAAATTTAATGTTTTATGCAGTACTTTATACTTGTGAAGTGCATTTTAAAAACTGAAAGGCTGTAAGTATAAACAGTCAAAGTTAGAATGTTTTCCTAATATTGATTTAAGTAGCGCACATCATGACTTTAAAGGTTATAATACTATTGCTCCAACTTTCCAACGCATGGTTTTGACTTTGTAATTCACACCAGAACATATTTCATTGTAGTTAATGTGTAGTCAATTTATTCCAGTTAAAATGTATCGCTTGAAGGTTAAAACTTTATTTTTCCAAATAGAGCTGGAATGCCTCATTCTTTCTACAGTAAAATGCGTTTTGGGGTGAATAACTTTAGATTAAAGAATCTGGTCTCTTAATTTTTATGAACAACATATTATTATTATTATCATTAAACATTTGAATTAGCCTGCAAAATCACTACCACTTAAAATGGAAACAATAATTATTACAATATCTTAACGTAATATGGTTATATCTAGAAATTTAAAGCCGTTCACTAAATCAGATTCGATTTATTTTCTAAAAATGACAACTTTGCTATTAAAGCTATGAACTTGTTGACTCTATTGCAGATAGAAACATCGTCCTGTTTCCAGTTGGACCAGTTCAAGTCGCTGCTCTTGCCTGACCACAACAGACCTCTGGAGTCGAACATTCTGCTCACAGTCAAAGAGCTCTTTAGCGGTTCAGATGCCAAAACTCTCGCTCTTCATATGCTAAGTGTTGACTGTCAGGTAGGAATTGGCATTGGCACCTGTAAACATTTCAAAACTCTTTTTTTAATTTTTTTTGATGTAATGAGAAGGTGTTTTCAAATTTAATGTTACACTGATTATTACATTATTGTTCAGTAACTTTAAAAAAAATCAGAAACACAGCTAAAACTGAGATCTTACCAAGTTTAATAATGTATTAAAATTCCTCTCCAGCAACGGTGGGAAAAGGTGTTATCAGTTTAATTGATTATCAAAAAGTGCAGTTCATAGTTATTCCATCCATCCATCCATCCATCCATCCATCCATCCATCCATCCATCCATCCATCCATCCATCCATCCATCCATCCANTCCATCCATCCATCCATCCATCCATCCATCCATCCATCCATCCATCCATCCATCCATCCATCCATCCATCCATCCAGAAAAAACATCATCACATATAAACTGTAATTGACTGAGAACGCCACACTGAAACAGGACACAGATACCTATAAAATGTGTTTAAAAATAGTTTTAAATCAATCATTTGAACAATATTTAGAAAGCATAGCCCATTGAGATTACTTTTTGCAGGTTGCACGCATTGTTGGTGTGACTGATGAGCAGAAAAGGATTATGGGAGTAAATTCAGGACTGGAGCTTGTTACTCTGCCACATGGACATCAATTACGACAGGATTTGTTGGAAAGGTAATTGTCACTGATACCCTTTTTGCTCTAAAACAGGGAAGATAAATACATTAGGCCATTATGAGAAATTCATCCAAAGCTGACCTGAATATTCCTCATAATGGCTATGAGAATTATGCAGAGAAGATGGGTTATGATTACCTTTTTATTTTACAGTTTAAATCATCTGTCCTATCTCTTAAAACATCTTATGTTAAATTTGTTATACATTTGTATGCATTCTTACTATATAAAGATAGTTTCCTTTCTTAGTACTAACTTTCTGTAAATGTGTGTGTTTTATTTCTATTGTTTTCTATAGGCATCATCTGATAACCCTTGGTGTGGCAGTAGACATACTGGGTTGCACGGGTACAGTTAACCAGAGAGCAACTGTTTTACACAAAGTTATCATGTTGGCTCAGGCCCTGAAAGAAAATGTGCACAACTTCTTCTCCTTCTCAGCCGTTATGAAGGCTCTGGAGATGTCTCAGGTATTGTGGTTTTATACCTATTTGCTTGGGAGGATGCTAAAAACCCTAAGAGGTATTCATGTTTTCTGTCACTCTGCACATGTTTAGATTGTGCGGCTGGAGATGATGTGGCGAGCACTGAGGAGGAGCCATACAGAGAGTGCAGTTTTGTATGAGAAGAAACTCAAACCCTTCATGAAGTCCTTGAATGAAGGAGATGGTGAGTGTTTTCAGTAACAGAAAAAAGAAAAAACTTTTATTTGTTTATTAAATAATAGTAAAACTGCCAACAAGAACTGTGGAAACATGTTTAATTATTGTTTTTCGTATGGATGTATAATCAAACAAAAGTTTAAAAGAGTGTCATAGTTCATTTTGTCGAGAAATACAATTTTCTTATTCTTTGGGGGTTTGTTTTTTAAACTAGGACAATATGTACTTCAGGAACATGAACAGGATGCAGGTTTCTCCTTCAAAAATGCTTACTTAATATTTTCTGATTTAGTAACAAATTCTTTGAATTATGGAAACATTTTTAATTTAAGAAGATTTTAATTTCTCACACTATTTGGCCCTTGAGCCACACATTCGACATCAGTGAGCTAAACCATTTCACTCTAGGTTTGGTTGAATGGTAAAGTGTGTGTACCAGCTGGAAGGTGAACCTTTTTTTGCCTCTTGGCAGGCCCCCCTTCCCTGCTGAAGAAAAGTCTCCCCACAGCATAATACTGTCTCCTCCATGTTTCACATTGTGATTGTGTCTTTAGGGTGTTGCACATTCTGGGATTTTCTTTATTTATTAGGTGGTTTCTAAAATGCAACATATTAGTTAGCATAGTATAGTAAAGGGGTTTTAAGAGTAGTGTAACAATGCATAGCAGTTTTTTTTTGTATTTTTTTTTTAAATACTGGATTCATCGCCTTCTTTCCCCTTAACAATTATGTTCTGCCGTGTTAGTCCATAACATAAAATCCTACTAAAACACATACAAGTTTGTGGTTGCTATGTGACAATATTACATAGTTCAAACAGAAAACCCAACTTTACACTTTGTAAGCTTCACTCCACAGCGGAGTCCAGAAGAGCTCCAAGGAGCATGTACAGATTTCAGAATAAAAGCCTGTAATTAATGTGAAATTCAGACCAAAACCAACTGATTCTCTAGGTTTTAAAACAGTTACCTGCCGCAATTTTCATTCTTTAGTAATATTATATATTTTCATCGTTATATTCTACAGTAGGTGAGTATTCTACAAACTCACGTCTGCATTGCTTCAAAGATAAGTAGAATGGACCGAGGTTCTGTGTAAAATTGAGATCAGGTTTTATTTACAAGGTTAGGAACTGCAGTCCAATAGATGTAATAACTAAATACTTAAAAAAAAAAAAAGTTAAATCACAAGGTTGCTTTACCAAACCATGAGGTGGCATTTATATTGTGGTAGCTATACTGACTGTCTCTCCATATGTTTTTGTCAAAAGTGTAAATATATTGAGAGCATTCTGTTTTCTGTGTTTTCAGTTAAATGTTTGCTCCTTCAATTACTTTAATTAAGAACATTCTGCATGGTGGGAAAAACACTTTAATAAGACCAAATGAAAAGTCGGTGTCTTTGTTTGCCTAAATACAAACATGGTAAAAAAAATATTTTGACTTTACTGAAAAGGGTTATTTGATCAATTTAATGCTTCGACAAACTGCATTTTATTTGTCTTTTCTCTCTGTTTTAAAAGGTCGTTTGACCAAAATTACCCAAAAAATTAAACCTCTTTGAAAATCCAAACAGCTGCCAATTGCATTAGCAACTAAATGAGAACAGACAGAAACTGTTTTCTTTTTTTTTTTTTTTTTTTATTCTTTCAGCTTCTGTTGTGAATTTATATTCAATGCCCATCTAGGTTGGACGCCATACATTTGTTGTGAATAACTGTTACATTCAATTCCCAGCCAGTTGGGAATTTATATTTCTGATACTTTAAGATGTTTATTGCCCTCCCCAGTAGGGGTGGTAAATCTCTTACTTAATCATATAATATTTTGGCTGTCATGTATTATTTATGAACACACGCCCTACTAGCTGTGTGTTAGAACAATAAATGAAAGAGTGATTCAAGCACTAATCATGGTCAAACAGATAATTCTTCACATATATGGAATAAATTCACAACAACTTCTGTTCAACATATAAGAGTGTATTAACAAAAATCATTCAGCTCCAAGTCAAACATAAATCAGCTAAAAACTCTTGACTAAAACTAGTGAAGCTCAACTAAACTAAACTAGTATGTACAAAGAGGAAGGGGAAACATAGTTGAAAACAATATTACAGTTTAAGATGGATTTTGTGTTTAAAGCTACAGTGTGTAATAATTACAGGGATATACAGTCAGAAATGTAATATATTATACATAACTATGTTATTTATCATCATCTACGAGCTCAGCCTCCTAACCTTAATATTTGCGTTGCCTTAGAATTCGTTATTTATAATTACATAGGAGCGGGTCTCGCAGCCATGGAGGCAGACATCTTTGCGCTACGGCAGCGCAGAGCCAACAAACTAGCGATTGCGAGATCGCCAAAACGTCACAACGATGTAGAAAAAATAATGGGTATATTTATTATCTTAAGTCTACATGAAATCTATACCCTACACCAGTGGTCTCCAACCCTGGTCCTCAAGATCTACTGTCCTAAAGATTTTAAATGCATCCCTGCTTCAACACAGCTGAATCAAATGAATGGCTTGAAAAGGTAATCAATCATTTCATTCAGCTGTGTTGAAGCAGGGATGCATCTAAAATCTGTAGGACAGTAGATCTTGAGGACCAGGGTTGGAGACCACTGCCCTACACAGACTAATGAAATACTATCTGTAAAATTATCTATGTAAACAAACCTCATCACTTGAGAAGGTAGGTGATGCGGACGTCGTGGAAGACATTTTGTCCCGTAACGCTCGCCGTACTGTTGGGGGTGGAGAAGCGGTGGGGGGGAGATGTTCATGTTGCTGCAGTCTGCAGTCTGACCGCTAGATGTCACTAAAAGTTACACACTGTAGCTTTAAAAACCAAAGTTTATCTGGAAGAATTTGGGATATCAAATCAATTTGGGAGATCAAATTAGCTTTTCACTAATTTAGAGCAATTAGAATGTTTTCAGACCAATTCACAATGCAAATCCACGAGGTGAATAAAACATTATTTGGCCAAATAATGTTTATTGAATGATTTGCTTAATTAGGAACCAGTAACCTTTAGTCAAATGATTCTTTACCCTCTTTGAAATAGCTAGCAGCGAATAGACATCAGGATTCAATTAAATGACTCTTGGTCATACTTGGTAATCGAAATGTAATGAGCATCTGAGGAACACATGAACACTAATGTTATATCAGTGTATAAACCCTTCGTGAAATAAAGGTTGTCCAATATTCTACAACAGCTCAACACATATCACTGTAGCATAGCATGCAGTAATATCCTGTCAGCTTTATCTTTACTCATCAGTAAAGACATGAAATGATCAAAATCATCAAGAGACATATTATTTGTTCTGTCCCTAATTGTGCCAGACCTGCAAACCTTTTGTCCATGTCCATTTGGAAGGTTGAGTTTTCATCCAACAGCAGCTTAGCAAGGCAGGCTCACAGCAAACAGGTTTTTTTTCCTTTTTTTTTTTTTTTCCATGTGGCTCACACCAAGGGATCCTTAGGAGTATTTCTCCAGTCTGGCTCTAAAGTTCTGAAACTCAAGGGAAATGTGTTGCAATAAGTATGTTTTGCAGCAGTTTGGTTTTAGAAAGTCAACTCTCATGACTTATCCTTGGTCACTCTGGAGATCTAAGCCCTTTTCGTGGGTCTCCATGGTGGCCTCTTCTGATGTGGATTCCCTGGCAGCTTCATGCGTGCTGTGGTCATTACTGTTCTCAACACAGGGGGGGGTGGCAACTCACACCTCTGTGGGAGTTCCTGTGGAGGCAGTTGGCTGAAATGGGTGGCAGAGGTCTTACAGCAGCTTACAGTTACTCCATGAGCCAAAAGTGCATCTTTTTCTCTGGTCATCATGTCAAGATAAAACAGGGACACTGGTTTTCAATGTCCAAAATCATGGCACATGGCACAACACTTCTAAGATGTGGGAATGGTGTTCTATCAATACTTGGCCTGCCAGATAAACATTTTGAGCAGAATAACATTAGCAAAGTGATTAAAGAAACAATGTACGGTAACATTTTGTTGCTATGTTTCTCTTTTTTAGTATTGTTTGTGCATTCTTCAGGTTTCAGAGACTTTTTCTATTCCTGTCCAATTGTAAGATTTATCAGTCAATAACTGAGGTTGGCTTGTATTTGTGAACTCATTTTGCATCTTATAATTATTATTTATGACTGATTCTAGTAATTATAAGTTAAAATAAAAAAAAAAACAAATGATGTAATGGTTATTGTCAGCTAAAATCTTTCTAAAGTTGGGGAAATTCTAATTTTGTTCCTTTTTTTTTTTTTTTTTACACTTTTTCACTTAAATCTGAACTGTCAGCAACGTGAGATAAGAATCTTCAGATATCAAATAATGTGCTGTCAAGCTCAGAAATGGTATCAGATGTTGTACATTTTACTTTGGTAGTAACTGGTGGGGTTCATGTTCCTCTGCAGATTCTGTAGTCGAGGGTCCCATTGCTGTGCCACACCTGGTTCCTCTTCTCATGGTGATGGAGGGTGAGGACCCAGTGGAAAACAGTGAGAGGGGCTGTCAGGCATTGTACGACGTCCTTCAGTCAGCTCGCAGTGCCGCCTTACACTCCCAGGATTACCAAAAACACGCACAGTCCCTACTGACAGGTTTGCAAAAACGACTCCACATGACATTAACATGACATTCTTAGGATTATAAGTTAAGAGGACATTTATGAACGTGGTTTGGGTGGAGGATTCTTTTCAAGAAATGTAACTGGGAAGGAATCAAGGAGACTTGAGGAGAACAGTATAATGCATCTAAAGCTGTTGGTCAGGTAATGTCTTAGTCAGCCTTTGTTCAAAAAGTCCCTTACAGGGACTAATTGTGTTAAAACTACCTTTCTACAGGGGATTTAAATTAATTTTTAAGACCTTCTCAATATTTAGTCCTTACACAATAATTTTCTGACCCATGGGAATAATGTTCATTGCAACAATTGCTCCCAGATGCTACACACTAATATTTATGCATGTGGTTATTGTATAGAACTCATGTATATTAAGTCAATAAATATATAAACTAATAAGTAAAAAAAAAAAAAGCAGTGTGTTACATATGCCAAAGTGCATTTTACACTGCGAATTTTGTTTTTTAAATGAGTAAAAATATCTTCAAATAAGTTTATTGAACTTTAATTTAAGTAGGAAAATAAGATGATCTGCCAATAGAGGGAGTATTTGTACCCTTAAAACAAGATAATTGTATGTTATTCGCTTGAATTAAGAGAATGCATAAGTTATGACTTATTTAAAGGGTGAATTGTCTTATTCCATTGTCAAATTGTCCAAATTACCTGCTCAATTCAAGAAAAAAAAAAAATGCATTTATTTTAAGAAAATAATATTTAATTAGATATCATGTTTTTGCAACGTAGAGTTCATAATGGTGTACTTTCTGACCATGCTGTAAGTAGAAGCCCAGTTGCCTTAAGCATTTAGGATTGTGAAGCTTTCTGATCCAATGTCTTTTTCCCCTTTCCACCAGAAGGCTGGCAGCCGGTCCCTGAGCTGCTGGAGGCTTTCCGAACAGAGTTCGCCTTGCGGTTGTTCTGGGGTCAACACGGGGCGGGGGCGGACAAAAAGGAGCGATATGAGAAATTCGACAAGATCCTTTGTGTTCTCTCGGATAAACTGGAACCTGTGGAGGTCACTCCAAAACAGTCATAACTCCAAGAGGTAGCTGGCAGACAAACCTCCTCCTTAGCAGAAAAAGGACAGACATTGTTTTAACTGAGCCTTGATTTCTACAGAAACAAATATCTGTGTTATAAGATCTTAACTTTATGAGATGAGAGACTCTTTGTAAAGTTTTTCAGATGACTACTAATTTTAACTGGAAGATGTGAAAAGACTTTCACTGTTTTATTACTTGAGATTTTATTTGTGCAACTTGAATGTTTTCTAGCTGAGATTTTGTAACTTTCCTCTTTTGCTCTTTGGAACTTCATTGTAAATAATAACTTTTTTATTTTGAGGTTAGAGTTGGAATAAAGAAACACAAAAGATAGATGATGTCTCACTTCATAATTTTAAAGGTTTCTGAGTAACATTTGCTAAATGTCATGTACAGAAAATAATATCAACTGGGGTAACTGTGAGAGAAGGAAGAGGATTTAACCTGATGCGGCTTAGAGAGAAGAAGTTCCAGACAGGAGATGAATCTTAAATCCTTCATTTCCTCTGTTGGGAATGTCTTGCTTCCAGTTGCAACTTATGTATTCCACACTGGGCTGTGTTGACCATCTGGATTTCCAGTTAGGGTATGTTGGTGGTTTGCGTCCTTTATTAAAGAAAAGCTTTGTGCAGAGGCTTTGAGCGTATCAACACAAAACAGGAAGAGAAACAAAGAAATCAAATTTTTTTTTTTTGTCCTGGTGAGCAGCTTCATCGTTTAAATTCAGCATGTTAGCTTTAATATTACCTTCCTTTCTAATATAGCAAAAGGTAACTCTTTTTAAAGTTTTGACAAAAGTTTAAATTATGAAATAAAGAAATTACTCTTTTTATCTGTCAGCTACACTGCCTTGTATTAGTCGTCTGTCAGCCAAATACTTTTCATTGAGGTTCTGCATGGTAGGCACTCGATAGATGTCAAGTGAAACCTAAACTGTGATTGATTTTCAACATATTGTTAAATTACAAAATAAAATTGTGTTCAATCTTATTCATGAACAAAACAACATTTAAGAACTTTATTCTTGTAGAATATGTTTTCAGCTTGTTGCTAATTAACAATTAGTTCATTGCAGCTAAATTCTTTTTTTTTTATTATTATTATTTTACCTTAAATATTTAGATATTCTATTTTTCAAAAGGCATGTTGTTAAAATGGGCCTCAGATACAAATAAAACTGAAAATTCTATCTAAAATGAAACTTGCAAAGCTAAAATGCTTAAGTCAGAATTAATTAAAACAGTTCAGCAAATGAAAAACAATTATATAATAAAGTAGTCAGGTACCATTAGGAAATAAAGTAACATTTAAAATATTTTTTCTGAATTATATTTATACAAAAATAAGTAAGGGGCTCCTTGAACAGCAAATGAAGAACAGGACAGGACTTTAAGTAGGTGATCTAAATCCCCCTAAATGCCTCTCTAAGAATACTGATGGATAAAGAAAAAAACCTAGTTGAAAAAAAACTTTGACACCTTATAAAATGAAAGCACGTTTATCCAGAACAGCTCTTTGTTACGTCTCACAAAGTATCTCTGTGCAGATATTCAAATTCAAAGGTGTATCTGTGTCAAAAACATCAAAATGTTATCATTTGCATTTATTTATAGGTTTTATTGTCTAACCTTTATTTAAATCTAACTTTAAACAGAGTTTAATTACTTCCTGGATCACATTAGGAAAGTATTGTAGATTTGTGAAAATAAGGACACTTCTTAAAACATATTCTTATCCATTATAAAGACACGTGACAAACAAAATATTCAAACCCTCATAATTGCCAATAGCATTTATTTGTATTCACTCCTTCCAGTTTAGTGGTTTTCATCCAGTTAAAAGACATAAAAGCACATTTAAGGAATGAGTCTCACATTATAGCATCAAGAAAATTGTTTAAGCAGAAAGCTAAAAAATAAAGTTCAGCAGGGTATTAGAACAAAAAAAAATAGCAGTCACATAGAAATATATATTGTATATATATATGAACTATAAACAAATAAAATATTATAATGCTTACCACGAGCAACATTAAAAATATCCATACCCCTTTAACTTCTCTACTTTTTGTGTAAAAGCTGTGCTCAAAGAAGTGGAATAACAAGGCGTGTATTTTCACCCAAAGCAAATCCAGAGTCTGTAAACAGATGGTAAACGTCTGCAAGTCTGTCAGCGTGGATGGAACATGTCTGTGAGCAACAGTTTTCAGGTCTTCCCACTAAACCATCATCCCACCATGTCTCCTGAAGATATCGGCCTCAAGTCTTTTTTCTTAACTTATAACTGATTTGAAGGAAACACAGCTTATCATGTGTCTTAAAGAGATTTTAATGACCTGAATGGTGGATCTTTTTAGGTCCTCTGGTTCCAAGTGACCTCGTGTGCCTCTTTGACCGATGCTGTCATTGCTAACCTGTCAGTTTGGAAGGATGGCTTAGTAGGTTAGCTGTAGTGCTCATTCCAGTTTAAGATCATGAAAAGACCAGTGCTCTATCAGATGTTCAAGCATGACTAATTCTCAAATCATTCTGACGTCTTTACAAAAGATCTGGATAAATACCAAGTTGAAATGATATAAAGCTTGACACTAGGGGGTAATTTACAAATACAGACCACACTTCAAATTTGGATTTGTTAAGGAAGAAATAAAAGCTTTCTAATATTGTTCTTTCACGTCAGAATAATGGACTTTGTTTTTAACAGTTAAACATTGGAGCAAGGTGGTGGTCCATGGATTAAGCTTAGGACTCATGTATGTGACATCACAGGTTGGAGTCCATGATAAGTGATCTTTGCTGCATGTCTTTTCTTTCTCTACTCCCATTTCCTGTCGGGCTACTTTTAAAAATAAAGGCCACTAGAGCCTAAAAGCATCAAATCATTAAAATGTTGGGAGAAGTTTATGGTTTTAACATGATAAAAGTATTGAAAAATTGAAGGGGTTTGAATACTTTAACAAGCCACTATATAACAGCTCTAATGTCATCGATGTGACACAAAGTTAAGGCAACATTCTGAAGATCTGTCCTATTTTTTAAATGCAGGAAAATGGATAAGTATCACACCAGGCTGATATGCATATTGAGACAGCATTCCATGCCACACAGAGCGGAGATATTGTAATCAGCCTTAATACCTTCACATTCATCTCACTGTTATCATCTCTGGCTGAGATAAAACACAAGTCGACAGCAGCTACTATCTTCTTCCGTGACTTTGTGTTGAACTCTGGCTCTTTAACTGTCCTTAACAAACTCTCTGAAGGAGGTTAAGGTGTGACTCTGACATAGGATGTAGGTATATAGCCCTCTTCTCCATTAGCTCTGAGGACTCTCATCCATCCGTCTCCTTTATCCTGCTCCATGACACTCAGCTGCTCTCCTTCAGTAATAGAAATGGTCCCCGCACTGTTGCCTACAGCCAAAGATGTAAAATATATATTTAATATAAACAGATTTATTCATGCAGAAAAACAACTAGTGAATCACAGGTTTACCTTTGAAGGTGTAGAGCGCAGTGCATTGGCCAACTGGGCTTTCAACGTCTTCAAACTCGTCATCAAACTCTGTGTAGTCGTTTCCTAATGAGTTCTGGGTAGCTGTTCCACTGAAAGAGAACAAAACAACGTTCACAAAGGGAATTCCTATTCATTTAATGGCTGCAAATTCATAACATTTACCTTGGAAATAAAAGTATTAAAATAAATATTTGTTGTAGTTTATTTAGCTTGTTGAGTTAGACAGGGTAAACATCAAAGTTCACAAAAAAATGTAAAGAAAACCGGTAGTGCAAGCAGAGTTTATTTCATGTTATCAAACTGGGGATTGGGAAAAGAGAGGAGGCATGCAAAGAAGTTCCCAAGATCAAGAATGGAACCCCAGATGACTGCTCTGAGAAATAATAGTCTCTTAATGTGGGACACATTGTCTACCTCTCAACCGCACACCAACCCATATGTGCCTTTTTTATCCCTGAGTTTCAGGGTCTCTTAAAAGTTCAGTATTATCTTTGCCATGAACATCTAATGTGTTTCTAAATATTAATCAATTTTCCCTTTGCCTCTGGAAATATAAAGATGACATAAAGCTACAGCCAAATTAATCAATTTATTGTATTTTGAATCATAAATGTCATGCTTTTGCTTTTTCAAACTTTAATATTTCAAGTTCATCAAACAAATGATCATCAAATTATACAGAATTTGGAATGATTTTGGTACTTTTTTATGCCAGTGTCCCCTAATTATATATATATATATATATATATATATATATATATATATATATATATATATATATATATATATATATGTATACATATTTACCTATATTTACATATACTCTAACTATGGGGGCAATCTTGACCTACTCCTATTTAACACCCAGCCATCAGTGGTGTTAAGTAGGAGGAGATCAATGAGCAAAACACAAATAAAATCAAGCCAACAGAAGCTGGATGGAGAGTTCCTAAGATGCAGAATAAATATTAATAACAACTGTTTTGTATTACATACCAGCATCTGAATTATATCTGTGAATTATGGGTCTAAATAATTCATGTTTGATATAAATGAAAAATGGAAGAGGCTTCATGCCAGAGGCAGTTTATTAAAGATCCAAAATATTCAAGAGATTAAGAGACATCTAAATGTAATGAGCCAATGCAGTAAAAAAGGAACCATTTTCTTCATATTTCCTTCATATCAAGCATTATAGACAAAGTCTCAGTTAAAAAAAAGGATTCCATGGCAGGGAAAGGAGAATAATCTATTAGTCATGTACACTCCCAGTGTACACTACATGTAAATACAGATTATGCAGGACTTCTATGTGATCCTTTTCATAACCCTATACTGCTCTGTTTCATCCTCATCTTTTATCCCTTCTTGTATCCCTGTTTAACCAGATACTAGCAAATTTGATCAAAATATTGTACAGTGGGTTATTGTAGGCTTACTACGCAAAACTCTGTCTTTACAGTTTTTATTTCAGACTATGTTGTTGACTTTATGCCTGTGTAAATCCTAAGTCATCTGACATATCATGGCCACCATAAAACAGACGTAAATTGGAGGCAGCTGGACTTTAAAGACATTTTTTGAAGACGTATCGACACCTATCCAGGGGTCTTGGTCAGTTCTGTGGGCTCTCACCAGAGCAATCTGTGGTTAGAGTGCTGATGTATTTAACAGCATGAACATCCATCCTCATGCAAACATTCCAAGTCAGACATAAAACGAAAAATAACCACTCCTTCTTCTGGACAGATGGAGCATTTTGTTGGGCATGGGCTATGTGGTTGGTCTTTTGAATCATGATAGGAGTGCTTATGTAATTGTTTTAAAATCACTTTTATGGAACTCATTTCAAATAAATTATATGAGTTGTTCCAAGCCAACAGAATTGACAAAGACTGCTGAAGAAATGTTGAAACATCTTAAAAAAAACAAAAGCAAATACCTCTGTCTGCCAA